TTATTTCAGTTTCATGCAAGCTTAGTGCAAGTTCATAATGTTTAGTAGGTGTACAGTTTGTGCTTAGTTCTTGGAGAGTTTACACAGACCTGCTAAGACCGCCGCTAGCCGTGTTCATTATGTCTACAACTAGATCAAGAGCTACTACCACTACTCAGTCTACTGTAATTGAATCAATGTGAATTTCATTAATTGGTTTATTAATTGCACGGAGCCGCTGAAGGCAGGTCGCTTCCAACCAGCCCATCTGGAAGTCATTGGGGGAGGCCTATGGATGTCTTGTGGCTGATACGAATTGGTTAATTCTTAAAATGAATACACAAAGAAAACCAAAAACCATGTTTAATTATATATTACTTATTTACTATTATATTTGCTAAAATACCGTAATATTAAAATTGAAAGGTGTAGGAAATCATTTCCATGTCACATATTGTTCATTGTGCTATATTTCTCTATGTTCGATTGATTAAAAATATTCATTCTGCATGTCATCGTATGGATTCTAAAAAACAGACAATGAGTGATCAAAAACACATAGTGACATGACATTTTTATCAATAAAAAAGAGTTAGTAACTTTCGAAAAATAATAAATCTCGTATGCAGACCGGATGACGATAATTCTAGCTTAGAACTAGTAGTCAAGTGATTGATGTAAGTAGGTAAGTGGTATTTAGTGTGACTAAAGTATAAGTGCGTACGCATTATCACGCGATCGTGTCTACTCATTACGAATTGCGTTTACGCATGTATACGTACATACGTACGTAAGTGGTATAGTGTAGTTTTGTTTGTTGTTTTAATAATGTGCGTGATATAAAAGGTGTACACAAAAACAATGTGCTTTAGTACGAGTATGTTTTACGTACGAGTATGCATTCCTCTGATTAGCCACCTCCAATGAACCAACCAATCAGATTTCGATTACTTGAAACGTAATACAAAACAAATTCGTACTAAGGCCTATGCTGGTATTCCAAATTCGAAGCTGCTATGTTACGAAGAACTGGTTTTATATTTACTAAAAAATGGACTGTATGTAATTGGATGCCATTTATTATTTTTCTCCTTTGATAAACCGATGTGACCGAAATCCATCAAGACATCTAAATACATTTTAATATTTATTTTATGTGATAGATATACAAATTTTAATGAAGATAAATTGTGAAAACGGCGTCTAATCTGAGTAAAAAAATCTGCACACAGTTCCGTAACAAAAACTAAAGCAGTTTGGCGTCATTTTTGGACTAGATATTAAGTCAAAACTACAAAGTTTACTGTTATATTTTACACTTTGTCATTAATTATTTTTTTAGATAAAAACTTGTTCTAGACACATGTAAATCTATTGGTAGATAAAATAGCAATATAGATTCCTATCGTGTCATAAAAGTTTACAGTTTAGGAAGAGGAGTGAACTCTGAGTGACTCGTTCACATGTCTTTTGTTCGATATTTTCGTATTCCGCATCTTAGCTGAGCGTAACATAATTATGATTCCGTAGTCTAAAGCAATTCAGGTATTATGAAATGCCAGCTAAATATATCTAACGTATTCTGGTATTTCAGAACAACACTGCCTCGTTGGCCGATTGATCGCAGATGCGACTGTCGGGCAAGGGGTTTCGGGTTCGATTCCCGGGTTGGGCAAAGTATTACTGGGTTTTGTAAAAAATTCTCAGTAGTAGCACGAAGTCTGGAATTGTGTCCGGTATATGGCAATAGGCTCACCCCTTATTACATAGGACTCCTAACATAAATAGTGAAAAGTGGGTGTTACAATGTACAGTGGCAAAATATAATGTACACCTCTGCTTACCGCGTCGGGGATAAAAGGCGTGATGTTATATTATGTAGAACAACACTTTGTTCTACAGTCAGGGCCGTCTTAGACTACGCTGGGCCTTGGGCACACAATAATTCGAGGCCTTTGGGAAATGTTTCTTTTTTTAACGTTGCACTACACTAGGATTTCCTCCTGTATCGTGTCGTGGGTGCGTTTACAAACATACAAGTTCACATACACATGACACCCAGATTCAATAACAACTATTTGTGGATCACTCAAAGATTTGCTCTGTACGGTAATCGAACTCGCTACACTTTGCGGGGCAGCCGGTTGCCGTCCGTCGTAGGAATTGTCGGTCCTTCATGGCCCCCGGGGCCTTGGGCACGGGCATGGCTGCTCCCGCCTGGGTGAGGCGGGAGGGAGTGTCAGACTCTTACTGACTAAAAACCATCCCATTCCTTCTCCTGCACGTCGAGCCGGAGCCCCGGTTACCCGTTAGTTTCTTCGCGACACGGTAAAGATGTGTTAAACAATGAAGCAGGAAGCAATACTCCGTCTTAATAGAGGTAGAGTATTTCAAGTCATCACCGTAAATTAAGACAGTTTTTGTATTCGTTTTACAGACAAAGAGCAACTAATAGCTACATGTGTCAATTATGCGAAAGTTGACGACAAGAAATGTCGAAAGTTGAGTCGAGTTGACACTTTCTTGAGCAGTGTCGCTAATTATGGTGCTGTACGGTCCAGGTGGTGTAGTAAGTGCATTATTTCTCCACTGGTTTCTCGAATTATGCCCAAATTACACGCATCATGGAAACACATTACAGTCATGTAAACGTCGAAAGCTTCGGATTGCGAGGTATGGCGGCTGAACTCACTGCACACAAATTGTCGTAATGTCAATAATTTAGGACATTTGTTTACAATTCACTGCCTCGTTGATCGTGTACGTGTAGTGATGGTAAACGTTAGTTCCTGGATTAAGGGATGAGACATGTTGTATGCAAATGATCGTTATTCAAATACTTGACATTTCTTGTCGTAAATCCAAAAATTACACTTTGTATGTTCTAAATCTTTTTTAAACTTAGACTTTATTTTAAATGATCGCAATTTTAACATATAAGGAAACTAAAATTAGTGAAGTCCGCAACATTAACACGTAAATAAGGCAGGCCACTGTCAGAATAAAGAAATCTGCGTAAATAGCATTAATTGTGTTTTTATCATGTACTCGTACCTACGTAATTATTAATTCATGGAATGTGAAGCCACTGTAATTAACGTATCCGGTAATAATGTATGATTATATTATTATTCACATAGGTACAGAGCTGAAATTTAATTCCTGTTCCATACTGTAAATGTTTATGTGAAACAGATTATCGGATTGGTCTAATTTTTTTCTTTCTATGCGAGGAACAGAATACGTTGTAGATTTGTTCCAATTACAAACTTGTAAAAATTAATCAAATTAACTCGATCTGAATGTAACCAGAAATATTCAATTGATAGAAAAACCTTTTTGATATGATGCCGACATGTTAATAACGAGGATGTAATAAATCAATTTCTATTTTTAATAGATTGCAGTTTTATACTGGGTATTAGATGGTGTCTCATTCATCATTTAACAGGTTTCCGCGCCTAGTCTATGTAAAGATATCTTAATTTTTATCCTTAAGTTGCGGCTAACAGCCAGAAATATTTATTTTCTTTTTTCTAGAAAATAAGCCGTTATTTTTTAAGTCACGTGTTAGACCAGTTCGTAGGTATTCCATATTTGAATCAATCAACGGTATTTTAAAAATTGACTAGATTTCATTTCATATTAATTCTGACATTAATACTAAAATACCTTTTCTTCTTATTATTTATGAATGAATTTGTTGAAATCAATAGGTAACCGATATTGCAAGGTTGGTGATATCATTATTTGAGGATGCAAAGATTACTTTTGTGACTGATTATTGCACTACACACATTTTGTGTGTCAGTGGATCAGCATAATATCAGTTACGATTTAAAAATATTTTTTGTTTTTCGTTTACACGTGTATATTCTTGTTCACTTGTGTATCATAGCACAATAACGCCTTTTTATTATTAAGCGATTTTAGATTTTATTCCATAACAAATAAACGTGTGTAAAAATAGAACAATGTTTACACGACACTGTGTTACATTTCAGTCGGCAGTCCAAGTCGGAAATAGAAGCTTAAGGCGTTGTAGCTGAAGAAATGTAATCAGCTAGGTACAAACAATACGTGGGGACTGCAAACGGGAACTATTGTTGCAATTTTGATTTGTTTCCTACGGCGTTGCCTGCTGGTGTGATTCGCTCGCTGCTTTGTTCTCGTATTCCAGTAATCACATACAATTTATACAGCTCGCGTGTTCTTAGATAACCCAGTGCAGAACCAGGCTCTGCGAAAATGTACTTATAGGTTGTCATGAGTAGTAGTAGTCTTTTAATTAATGCAAGCGCTGCACTGCGCTCTTCTTTTGAAAGGTGATTTTCACGTTGAGCTTTACTCAGATTTCAGCGCTTTATGTGCACGTATGTACCAGGTTACCTACGTGTTTATTTGTGAGAATTTTGAATGTAATATTAACAAACGTCTGTTCCAGAAAGTGTAGGATTATATGTTAGTTCTTTGAATGGAGACAAGTGTTTTATTAATTCTTTATTGTTTGGTTCTCAGATGGGTAGCAAGTTAACGGTAAGTAACGAGTATGTAAAAGGTTAATTAATAGTAGGACCGCATTTCATCTTTGTCATTAAAATACCTTAAGCTTGGTCACAACTCGTTTTGTCACAAGCAAGGCCAACTACATTTAGCATGTCTGTCAGGTGTCAGCTGTCTACTTAAGCCTTCACAATACATTCTCGCAGTTTAAACATTATTTGAAGACTGTGACTGGGCCGGGTGTGGAGTCATAGTGGTGAGATGTTGATCATATTGGATCACTACACAAGGTTGCATCCACTGTTGTATTGTATTGTCACTACTATTGCCGTCATTCATTTATTTCAGCTTATCGTTAAGCATAAGTCAGTGCTTAATTGAACAAATTCAATTCTTCACTTCCTAGCTTAGTACTTTGTTCAAACTAGATTTATACGTAAAATGTCTAAATATAAATAAAACACGCCATTATTGACCTCTATTAATATCTAACAAAGATAACGCAAAGAGTGGCTCACCTGGCACATGTTCATCGTTAAATGTGACCCTCACGGTGTGGGGTCGTGGCAGGCGCGGTGTGAAGGCGGCCGCGTACCTGTGACCCCCGAGGGGTCTCACGGAGCTCGCCACGAGGGCCCCGTTGCCGCCCGATACCTCTAATTCAAGGTGACCGGGCCCCGCCATACTTCCGTCCACTGTATTGGGAAATTACTCGTCAATTTATAAATAATCAAAAGTTAGTGAAGTGGATGTCCTATTGTCGAGAGGTTTCCGATATTGTGAGAGGGAAAGGTTGCTTTTTGATACGATGTTTATTGATAAAGTTGGTAATCGTAAACGAGTATCCTGTAACGTTTTAGGTATACATGATTATTATAAACGGAGAAATTGACTGACAAGAGATAGATTACAATATATAGTTAGAGCTAAGAACGGACCACGACAGTTACCTGGTTCAACAGCTCTAAAATTATTATGGTTTTTGTATAAACAAAGATTTAGTTAGGTGTTGGAAATACCCTTTTAATTAATAGCTACTGTTTGCTCGACTAGAATCGTAGAAATTAAGTTATAGTAAGAATTTATTGGCAGCTATCCAAACCAACAGAGATTGTATGAAAAGCTGAGTCAGTCCAACTCAAGCGATCGGCACAATAAAATGGAGATAACGTTAGGAAAAATTAAAAGATGCTTTTTATTTTTTCCAGAAGTTCTTTTTTGACATTTTGTCGTATCGTTCATTTTAAATTAAAGTCACAATAGGAATGATAACAGGGTATCAAAATTAAAAATCTAACCGGCCGTAAGTTAGGTAATGTAAAAATATTAGACACGTATTTTTTTATTTAGTTGTACAATAAAATCATACTTAGATAAAACGAATCAAAGTTTAGGAGTGGGGTCTAAAACGTCATTTCTACGTATAAAATGTACATAGAATTCTTTTCCTGCCACAGGACCACAGGAAGAAATTCCAGTTGGAATATGTGGGGCCTATGTACTCTGTTTTTATATATGTATTGTCCTCTGTGTTGAATGTGTGTACATAAATAAATAAATAAATAAAATTGAAGTGACGTCACGCGACATTTCAAATCAATATATCATCAAAAGTATTCGTTTCTGTAAAATAAAAAATACGTGTGTAATGTTTTAAAATAAACTACTAGACGGGCAATAAAATAAAAATTTGTCATCTACTCAATTGCTATCGTGTCATAAGTAACATCATCATCATAGTAAGACTAAAGTAAACCTCTTTATTTTCCGTTTTGAACTTTATTTACTCAGGTTGACTTCCTCACTTAACTTCTAGGTACAAGTCGAAACGTCAAGTACACAATTTTAAAGGTATTGGAATTTAGTATCTCTATGTAAATGCAATAGGAATATTATAATTATTTTAGTATGCCATTGATGTAATTGGTACTATCAGTGTAATAGCTATTCGAAGGCTACCACTTGGGACGCTGCCGTATCTTTAAACAATGGCACTTACCTATGAATTCAACTGGTTGTCCCACAACTCCTTTGTAAGACGGTTTTACAATTATTCCTTTGGCACCTCTATTATTGTCCCTTTTAATTGGTCTGTGAACGAAAATGTTTACAACAAATTTAATTACTTAGTAAAATGTTACACGTTACAGTCAGTCCTATAAAACACAGTTGTAATGCAGGTGACGATGAAATTAAAAAAGTATGGGAACTTCTACAATGTTGGAACAAAAAAAACTTTCCCCGTTGCATACAATTTAATTTATTACGAAGAAAAATAGTTTGCAGAGTGTAAATTATATCGCAGTGGAACTGTCTCTAGCGTTCAACTGTTTTAATGTTTCGTCCCAGGAATTATATAGTGCAGTTAATAAGTTTTGTTTTACTTTGAACAACGTAGACGACGAATGGTTCATTAGAATTTCACAAACTAACAAGAAGAAAATAAAGCACATTGGAACACAACTTTTTATTACAAATATAAAAGAAAAAACTATAAAATCAAGTATAATAATATGTAAATGTTTCCGTAATTATTGAACATCTGAAATAATTTCCAAGATATATTTCTGACACTACGTATCCAGCCCAAAGTCCTAAGTAGCAGTGAAACAGAACAGCCGTAGCTGGTAGCTTGCAGTTCGTAGCGCGTAGTACGTAGCGCGTAGTACGTAGCGCGTAGGGCGTAGCAGTTTTTTCCCGCTATTAATCTCATGGACTAAACTGGTGAATCCACGGGAGTGGAAGAAGTTTCCACTATTCCACTTTCGCAAAGAGCGTAGCCTGACTCTGTAATATCTACATATTGCATAGTAACTAGTAGTATATTTGTACCTGAAACGTGCGTGTGCGGCGTCCGTCTCAGAGCGGGCCCCCCCGGTAGGGTCGCGGGGGGGCCTATTGGATAAAAAAGACTGCTGCTGCTTCTCCTCCACGCTGCTGTACGACGAGTCACGCACCACGTATGTGCTCTCGCGCACCTCGCGTTTACTGAATTCTTGCTGTAAATAAACAAATTATATAGTATTGCTCATATTTTAATAAAATAGTTATTGGTAACACATGTATATAGTCAATTTGTCCTACAAATTAAATGTGGAAGTGTTTTATTAATAGCTCAGTGAAATATACAAACTTTTATGTTTTAGGATTCTTATGAATGAGATTTAATATCACACGTTATATCTACCTTCCTCTTCAGGACAGAACTCCTGTCAATAAATTATGAAAGCTAAAGAAAGACAGACATCCAGAAAACCTGGTTAAGATCACAGACTTAAAACAGAGCTACCTAAGAAAAACTTTGCATTATCTCGGAGTAGCAGATAACTTTTACGGGAAAAGTACCCACAAAGAACAGAATTCTGATATCATTTATAAACGTTAAAGTCGGCAATTTGACATTAATATCATTCAACGTAGATGGGAAGCTAACGAGACCCACTCGTATATTCGAATACAATTTGCGCAATATTGCCGTGACAAGTTTTCTGAGAAATGCTCAGAAGTGTGCCGTGCGCTGTGCGACGCGTGCGAGCTTACAAAACGATGAAATCAGTATCAAGTGCCTTTTATAAAGAAATATACAAGGTGCTGCAGACATTTTCTACGTTATATTATTATGCTAGACTGCACTTTGTACTGTAACGAGCTATGAGAATATTATTATGAGCTTTATACCATACTTACGATACTTGTACTCGAAATGAATTTCACGTTAAATACCCATTAACAATGTTAGAAGAAGCATTCGATTTGACATTAATAAGGTTTTTAATATAGTACAATTTTAAAATATCCATACAAAATGAATTATTTAACAAAAACTATCCAGAGGGTTTCGTTTTTCGATATTTTGATTGAGCTCTGAATTGAGCAGTACTATAAATTCAACTCTTTTGTTAAAAATTTCTCAGTATCCAGTCGTATGAAACCGCATATTTATTTTGAAAGATTTCGGTATTCTGGTACCCATTTACCTATATATATTTAAGTATACCCGTGTATTTTGAATGTAACTAAACACAGCTGTATTGTGACGTACGATAGAGAAATGTCGTTATAACAATGGTAACCGAACAGAAAGATATATTATACTCATCATGGCTTCATTCATCGAACTTCGAGCCTAGTATTGGATTTCTGATTTCCGAAACGCTCGCGTCCGAATTTCGTTAATTTCAGACATTATGGAAAGGATTTACAACATCGTTAAACATTAGGGCAACATTAGTAGTAGTAGTTGAAGGGAAACATCACCCAAACTGAACAGTTAAGTCAATGGTCACAATCTTAATGGCGGGAAGTTGTCCCATAGTTGGGGAGCGAGCTAAGTGTCGCCATAACATAACCATGGGAGTCACGCACACCGTTTACATAGTTGAGACTTGTTTCTAAACTTACATAGTGTTATATAAAGGGGACACTGGGCGTACAAGTTCTTCATAAAGGCTCCTGCTCACTGAATTTAGGGCTGGTAGATATGCAATGCTTGCTATTAAAATAGGCGTATTTTATTTTGAAAATCACATTGTATGCTTGTATTTACTATTCATAGGAGGTTTGTAATATTAATACAAATCTCCAGTGTTTTTATTTCAATAAAAAAACAATGATAGTAGCAAATACAGACTATTTCTCTAATCCGTGGCATCCCATACTCGCAACATAGGGATTCGTATATGAAGTGTGCAGTGCCGTGTCAGTGAATGGTAAACTTAATTTTAAACTCGACTCTAGCTGTTCACTTCGTGTGCTGTTAGTGGAGTGAGACTGCTTCATGGTTTGTATGAGTCCACTGCTGCATTCAATTTACAAAGTTTGTTTTATTTACTTTTATAGTTTTGGTCTACCAGAAAACTGCGAAAAACTTGCTGTACTTTTCTCGTCGATTTCTCGTCGATATTTCAAGTCAGCGGAAGAAACTGTATTACTTCAATTGCTTTTACATGTAGAGTACTATTTTATTTTTAGAGATATTTAAGTCAAGTAGGTAAACATTTAAATAATTGTTCAATCTATAAATACGAACCTTGGCTTTGATGAACAATCTTTACAAAAAACGTAAAGCGTACGTAACAACAGCTACAATATTTTTAAAATACTGGTTAAAAAACGAAGCATGTACCGCCTTTTGTTAGTTTACATGGAAAATAACAAAGAGCTACGTACTCGACTGGTGTAGGTGTCGGAGTCTCTGTCGTCGGCCAACCGGTCGAGCTGCCGGTTGAAGGAGTCGCGCGAGTAGTCGGTGAACTTGTTGAGCTGCGTGTTGCGTTTAGTCTCGCGGTCCAGGGTGCTCTGCCCGGGCACCCGCTCCGATGGGCTTTTAGGAGACTCGAGGCTACACACACAAACGCTTATACTGCACCACATGTAAATTAGAGACCGCAGCCATGTATAGCGACACCGAACAAGCGTCGAAATACTTTGTACACAATTGATTGGTGTTACTACCATTACTATGTACCTAATAAATTCGTGTAGAATCGTTGTTACGTCTAATTTAATGATGTAGGTACACAACAATAAAATATGTGAGTTGATATTTTGTGACAATATAGACCTTTATTATCCGTTCTTCTGCTTTCGTTGTATACAAGTAAAATATATATTTACAGATGTTATTTATGTAGAATTATGGCTCGTAATACCTCTAATTGGAGGCTCTCAGGCCTTATTCTGTTACTCGTGTTCGCAAATATATCTAGTTGGGTATCATTAATCATGTTTCCATGGCTCCCTTTGTGTAGCGTATTATCAATATCTCACCTGTTAGCGCTCATCATTTGTCTTGTTTTTTCCACGCTGTCCCAGTCCCTTCTCTGGTGATACGACTTCCCGCCAGGATCGCCTGCACCTGGGATAATAAGTATTATGTAGTCATATGACTTTTCCATGTAAATATATGTAGTTATTTTCATAAGAAATCTAAATATTTTGTTTGTATTTGGAGGATCAAGTAAAAGGATGGTAATGTGTATAATTTAACAGGATAAACGAAAATCGGACAATTAACACACAAATAGTTTTCCGTGTGGAAGCCAAACTCAGGGCACCCTGCGTAGTAGTCGTAGCAGCGGCGTACATAGATGAGTATAAGTACTGACTGATTTGGCGGCGTAGCTGTGTCAACCGTGCTATCAAATATTCTTACTCGTAACATGTCATTAGAAGTATAGCTAACCAGTTTTATGAATTAGTACCTACTTTCAGCTTTTATTACCTTAGCGGGAACTATTTCTATTGGATACTTATCCCTATAAACTTAGAGAATGTCCTGAGAGAATACTCTATGTAGTTTTGAACTAAATCTAATTAGAAAAGTGTGGAGAGCTTAAACTATCGCCGGTTGTCTTTGACTACATTTCTCTGTGGTTGAGCATTTAACTCGTCGACGCCACGTATGAGGTTTTTTATTGTTCGGATTAAAAGTTAAAAGGAGGTAGCTATTAGGAATGTGTTTTAATTAATTATCTTTGGATATGTTTCTTCTGTGTTTTCTTATTTGCCATAAGATGATGATAAGATGACGACTGCCTCGTTGGCCAAGTGGTCGCAAGTGCGACTGCCAGGCTCAGGTTCAATTCCCGGGTCGGGCAAAGTATTACTGGGTTTTAAAAACTTCTCATAACATAAATAGTGAAAAGTTGGTGTTACATTGTACAGTGGAATAATGTACACCTCTGCCTACTCCTTCGGGAATAAAAGGCGTGATGTTATGTTATGATGATAAGATTTATGGCTAATTTATAGTCTAAATTACTTTTAATTATACATAACGTTTTATAAAATGTTCTCTTTCAGTTTCATTAAAGCTTATCGATTATTGTCTAAATCAAATACGTTTAGGTCACGGCTACTTTATTCCAGTGTCAGTGGTCTATATATAGGCTACCCTACTTTCCACCCTAAGTATTTTCTGAAAGGAGGTATTACAGGCAAAGATTATTCAGGTGGGGTCCGGATTTGCATGCTTCTGCTATAATATTGGTCAGCTGTCAAACACAAATACCAGGTCACTGATTTATATGAAGTACGTTGTTGTTATACAGTTTCTTCTTTTACTTTTATTTAAACACAATGTTTAAGACATTCTGTGAGCCGCCTTTTTTAAAGTTGTAGAAATATGACGACTTTCTTTTAACAATGGCAACCGTAGTATCTAATTGAATTCAGTAGGTACTAACAATTGTATTGATTCTAAAGGAAACTACCTTTTTGCTGTAACGCTACATCGAACTGTGAGAATTATAAAATTTACGATTTACACATACATACAAACACCTTATAACTAATATACATACATAAACACGTATTTGTATATACGAAATTATAATAAACATGCAACTTAGTTTACAAGGCTCGTGTATTCGAAGTACCTTCCATAAAGTTAGTGTAAACGTAAATTTTATGTAAATGAGGTGGTTTGTACTTACTGGGGCTGCCAAGCCTCCTCGCGCGGTCGCCCTCCAGGGAGGAGAGAGGGCTGGCCTGGTCCAGGTTGTCCTGGGATCCGCTGTATGAGCTGTACATCCTATAGTTCGACCGCTTCTCCACAACACGCTTCGTTGTGGTCACAGGGCTGTACCGGTCCGTTGGACTGTTGACTCTGGAAGTGTTTTTGTTGATTAACGACACGTGTAAATATCTAAGCCTCTAAGGTATAGAGATAAGTATCTCATGATCCGATATTAAATACCTAAAGTACAGAAGTGTCGTTCTAAGTAATATTGGGATTGATGAATAGAAGGTATATTTTTTTATCACTAGTATTCAGAAAACCTAATAAAATACTTGTAATTACTAATTTAAATAACTGTTAATGAAATAAACCAAAATTAAATTAAAGAGATTGTGGCAAATTGGGACAAACCATTACAGGTATTCGAGAGTGCAAATTGTGTACTTAATTATGTTACGACCGTAGTACACAGGTACTAATAAAACCACAGCGTGTAAACACAATGCAGTTTTATTTATTGGAATACCGCAATATGGCGGCCGAAAACTATATGAAAATTGATTTACAGCGTAAATACGAGCTTTATACGAGCTTTAAACATAAATTAATTAATTACAGAGTGACACAATGTATCGGGTCCATTGTTGCATGCGAGTGAGTAGCACGCACCTGTTAATTGGACTGGCTGTCCTGTTCAAAGGGCTGTCTTTCCTGGCGAGAGGGCTCGTTGTCCGGCCGACCGGGCTCGTGGCGCGGTATGGGGAGCTCGCTCGATACGGGCTCGCGGACCTATTGACGTCCAACCGAGACCCGTTTCCTAAATGTTTTGTTGTTATCGGACTTGCTGTCCTGTTCCTCGGGCTCTCTGAACCGTATCTTGTGTACGTTTCCTTTTTCGTAGCTTTTGATGTCGAGTACGCGGAGTCGGTCACGTCGTAATTTTTCTCCTTGGGCTCGGTTCCGTACGAGGACTTGTAATATTCGGTGGAATCACGTCTCTCCTCGCGCCGGTCCACTGAGCTCGTACTGTGCTTAGCGTTTGATTCGTACAAATTGTATTGGTTCATCGGACTCTCTGATCTGACGCGAGTTACTGAAACAACACGGAATTAGTTTCCGTTTATTATATTGATTTATGTTAGCTTAATAGATGCCTACTAAACTATCTAACTATCACTTTCAAAGTCTAAAGTTACACACATACGTACGTACATACATGTATAGGCAGCTAGTTAGACGAGTGACTTTGAACAAAGGCTCTGCTACACAGAGTACGTAGTTAGATTACCTGGACTAGATATTCTCGCGTAAGCTGGCGACGGACTGGAGCTGTCTCGGGGCTTCTTAGACCGGGAGCCGACTCGAAACATGTGCGGGGAGCCGTGGACATCGTATCCGTTGAAGTAGATATACAACTGGAATTACACCGTAATACATTTTTAAAGTCATTCTTAGGGCTTTAGTTGTTTATGAAGTTGAACTTAGTTTTGTCTTTTTGTGAAAATTACATTTATGAGCACGCAGCATTATGAAATTTCTTTTCCTTCACATTCGCTATTGTCAAATACTGAGAATTATTCACAAATGAGGAAAAATATTTTAAACAAACAGTATTATTTAAAAATGTTCACTCTCACCCTGTGTTTCCCAGGTGCCTTTGGCATGAATGTAGCGCGGTATTTAGTAGCAGACAGTTTCTCAAGAGCACACATGACGCTTCGTTTGTCGTGAACTATGTCCAGTTGTAGGTCACCCTTCACTCCGCAGCCGCTGGTATCCAGCTCGAAAGAGTGAGGTTTGAGGGGCTCAGCACCTTCTAGAGCACCAGGGCTCAGTCGGACTCCATGTGGATCAAAAACTTCGCACGTAAATGGGCCTCCCTAAAATAAGAACGAAATAATTGAGAAATACAGGGAAATCGTCGTCGCTTTTTCCTTATTAACTTTTTGTCATAAAAATAAAGAAGTACTTTTTTATTAATCAAATAAAACGAATCAAATCTTGAATTATGAAAGCAATAAAATCAGGAGATATTTAAGTATTGAACGGTCGTCTTTTGTTTCACGTATCTCGGCCCGAGCTCGCGTACCTGTGACCTTTGCATTGTTCTGCCATATTATATTGTTCCCTACATTTTTTGTATCGTTAAGTACATTCACGTGTAAAATATAAAACAGTAAATGACCCTACATAATATATTATTTCGAACTTGGATAGGTATTATTAACAATACGTGCAATAAGCCTCTTTAAATTTAATTCTAATTGTTAGAAGCTGATTTTCCAAAAACATTACCTACATATTATTATAATTTTTAGATATTCGAAAATAAACCGAAGCACTGACTAAACAAAATTTAATCTTACCTGTATATGATCACCTTTATAAGTGATAGCTATGGTCCAGGTGCCTGCTTCATCAGGTTGGAAAGTGGCACTGGAGGCGGTGGTGCCGGGGGCCGATGGCGGTGGATGACGCGGCTCCAGAGGTACGGCGCGACCGCTTGGGGAATGAGCAGTGACGTCCACATCTTCTCTTCTTGGCGCTCCTAGAAAAGGTGAGTAAAGTTTTAGATTAATATACCTAATGAAATGATTGAGAAGATTTATTAATGTGGAGGAAGCGAAGAAGGTATAAGAAACTTTGACGATTCTCATTAAGAGCATTTACTTGTTGTTCGTAAGCTGTATGTATGATAAGTATCTTGGCCATATTCACAAAATTAAAGATTGACTTAGGTACAATAATAAACTTTTATTTCCTTGCCTTCTGTTTCATTCAACGTTATTTGGGAGCATATAAAATAATATTACAGTATATTATTCTGCAAAAACATTCCATATAACCCATTAAATTCAACATAAATAGCTACCTATCTAAACATCCCGTACGTATCATTAACGTTTGGGCTTGCAAAGGTCAATTACGCGTGAGGAGCGTCTCTACGCATGAACTAAGAATATAGCGATGTTATTGTGTACCCTTTAGTAGACTGGTTTGTGTACATAATTGTAGACTACGAGATCTTAAGGGGTCACCTTGAAGGTCGAAAATAAATGTTTTGTAATAAAAAAGGAAACTTGACTTAGTCACCCGCTTAATTAGATCATTATTATCATTATCATTATCATCATCATTATCATCATCATCATCAATATCATCATCATCATCAAATTATCATCATCAATCACCACGCTTGCACAATGCGGATAAGCGATTTCAAACGTATAATTACAAATTTTAAGCCCTGGTTTCCTAACGATGTTTTTGTTTACCGTTCAGTGAATCAGTTCGTCCTGCCGGATTGACATGGCCGTCAGAGTTTACAATTGAGAGAGCAAAGATTGCTGGTTTCTTAGTGTGTATTCTGTATAGTTGGCTAATTTGTAAGAATGACCCACGGTTTTGCTTTGTAATTACCTTTATCATCCTCGAGGGTCCTATCTTTATATATTATTATTTTGTACAAACCTGTAGCACTGACTAGCACTTCCACAATACTTCCTATGGCACACGGCGCCATGCCTGGCGGTGGGACAGTCACAAGCCTCGGCAGCACACGGAAGAAGTATCTGCCGTCCACTCTGGAAGTGTTATAGTTAGGTTTAGATACATAATTATGGAAGCCGCGATACATCACGTTACATTTTTTCAAAAGTGTTGTATTTGTTAGCACTACATCGGCGCGCGATGGAAGTTCTAATTATTTACAACGGAATACAATAATGGCTACGGGTCTACATCACAAGTTTTACCGTAGCAATAGAAGCCAGTTATCTAGGATAGTACTAGTAGTTATTGTAGTGAAAGAGTATATTCAAAACAATTTGGAATTTGCCGATACCTATCTGACATGAAAGGATGCAAGAATTCTTAATACAAAACATTAAAACTATAATTATATTTCGCAGGCTCGATAAAACCTGACAGGTACTATATTTCTACAGGTAGCGATTAAATTACCATTATAGGAAATAGCGCATTACCTGATATCGTCGACTGTAAGAACAATTTCATGCATTCCAGCATGTTCTGGAATGAATTCTCCAGCTCCTCGGGCATCTAGTTTCAGCCTGGACTCTTGCTCCAGAGGATTCACTATCGACACTTTGACGTCCGATATAGACAGCTCGTTTGATATACTCTCGATTTTAATATACGTCTGCGAACAGAAAAGGAATGAACGTTGAGTATGATATTGTTTGGTCAGGTGTGGATTATTTCAAAGTTATTAAAATTTAAAGCAAAGAAAACTTATATTTAAGAACATATAATGTAGGTAGGTTTTTACTGCACAGATAGTTTGATGTTGATTTAGATTTTTACATTCTTAGAAGTTTGTTTAAAATAACTGAACTAAATTGTAAGACTTTAAATACCAGGTACTTAAACAGTACTTTAAGACTATGTACCTACAATATTTATGTAGATATACCATGACCTAAATATAAAATCACTTTTCACCCCACCTGAAACCTTACAACTTACAAGAACAAAGAGTTTGAACTTTGACGCGGCGGAAAATGTAAAAAAAAAATATTTTTCATTTGTAATTTAATTAATCATAGATATCGAGACCCTCGAGTCGATATTCTCGTTAATCTCCACTTCTGCCGGATAAATCGGATGTAGTTATTCCGGCTGTGGTAGACAATATCGCACATCAAGGCAATTTCATAAGACTTCCTCCGCTTTTTCCGTTCGATGTCGTTTTAAAAACCCGATGAATAAGCTATTGACTCTTAAAAGATGAAGATAAGTTTCAGGATTTATATGTATGAGATATCTGAACGCCTAAGAGTTAAGCTGTAAGATGTTGATAAGGGAAATATCTCTTTTATTCTTTTATTTCGTCTGGATTAGCACCTAAATGAAATTCATCTTAAAGTTGTACTTACAGGTTCTCCAACTCTTCCGGAGGTAGAGTCCAGAGCAACCCTCAGCATGTCGTGTACTGGTGGGCGAGGAGGCACGTTCCTCAGCTGGGTGGCCCATGCCATCACCCCCAGGTGCTCCACGTCACTCTGGCTCAAGTCACGAGCTGATAACACTGGATGCACCCCTGGACAACAGCAGAAAAACATTTTCCACTACAAAGAACTCCACTAACGAAAAATAGTTTTAAAACTGAATGTGCAATAATACTACGACACGAGTGCCTGTTTTAATTGAAACACTGAACAAAAATACACATTTTGACGTAGGTACCTGGCGAATCCATTAAAATTGTACACTTTTTGTGTTGCAAGACTAAAATAAAATCAAATAAAATGATAATTATAATTCAGTTGGTTGAAATGTTTTGTGTATCGTTAATTCAAATATATCAGATATAAAATGTTTGTGTATATTAATTCCGTTTCAAATGTATCAGAGATTATTTGTCATTTAAACATTTCGATTCGGAATACATTAATTGTATACTAGTGTAAATCGGGTAATAATTGTAATTAATAATCCCCAGTGCTAACGTTGTAGGGGGGCGGGGAAATGGGTGATCATTCAAATAATAACAGAAACACGACGGAACATGATTAATAAACACTATTACTATAATTTATTGGTTTAAATACGTCTGCTGTAATATATTGTATAGTTTAAGTATCGATTGTTGTTGTCATTGTAGAATTAGTTCAACTTAACTGTTGTGTAATTTTACTTTCGTAGATTACTTAACTGCTTATTGTTTATTCCGTAGGAACTTGTTTTTAAAACATAAGTTGTATTAGTACTAGTATTACATAAACACAAAATAGATTCGCTACGATGTAATTAGATACAAAGAAAATTATCAGCGCGATATAGCCACTGTTTTTCCTAATGAGAGAAGCTGAGATGTGCATCTTCTATACAGTAGCTGGTTTCACTATTATTTCAAGCTAGCAATAATTTTATTTATAATAACTATCGCGAGACATACTAAATTAACTAAAAATCGGGGGTTTCTCTGTGGTTCGAAACTAGTAGAGCTCTTCTCAATAACTATATTCACGCGAGTAACCCGCGATTTTTGGTTATTTTTTTAGTTAAATTTAATTATTTTAATTTTCTTTGACCTAAACAAACACGGTGAACTGCGCATTCATCTAACATCTTGCAATGCATCTAAATGTATTGTGTTCAGCAATAAATATATTTGAATTTGAATAAAGTTTCAATATTTTACACCTAGATGTCTAAATAAACTTTTTAAGTTTAAATAAAGGAACCATACCAATTTTCTTAGCCGCGTCTAAAGCCATTTGGTTGTTCTCTTCCCAGCGCGCAGGGTCTCTTCGCAGGCGACTCGGAGGCGGTGCAGGTCCACCAATAGACCTCACTAGCTCATTTGACACTCGACCGTCGTTCCAGTCCGTCTGGTATTACAAAAAATATGGAGTTAATGTGTATTAGTCGTAGGTCATTCTTAGTTAGGTTGCAATAGGGTCAAAAATAGAAAGTCTAATACCTAATAACCATTATTCCAAAATAAGTAATAAAAATAATAAAAGCCTCTTCACTAAAGCGAATGCAAAATCTCAAGACAGTGCTGTCTGACTTGGTTGGAATGCAAATGATACGTAATTATGACTGTGTATTAAATAAGTGGTCTGTAATATCTGAACAATTGTAAAATAATAGCAGCCGAGAGAAAAGTGGACTATGTGAACAAATGACTGCTAAGAGAGTACAGTACCTATTGTGAAGTCATATCTCTCAATCACTAGCCAGATTGTCGTGAGACTCGCGAGCCTTGCTTAACTTACCGGGCCATCGTAAATCGAGTAATAAAACGTGACTAAATAACTGAGGAATTTTAGAAATTATTTGCACTAACTATTGCAACAACTTGAATATATGCGGCGACTACCTTCACCTATACGATTTACGTAATCTTGTATTAACATCAATGAGAAAAATATCCAGCAAGTTACCTATAAACATCTCACGCCTACCTTAACGGTTAATTTAAGAAAGTTAACCTTTCGATATGATCACGTGGCACGCCCATTTTCCTCCGAGGGGTTAGCAGAGGTAACACACCCACACCAATAGACTTCGAGTAAAGTTTCCGTTCTACAGAATGGAATAAACCCGCTGCGAGTTACAAACTTTGGTAGGTACCGTAAAGTTAGTGATTCCTCTCTCCAACCGCGAGTTGACCCAGTCCAGTGTGGCCCTGAACCCTGCGGAGTCGGGCTTCATGAAGTACGAAAGGTAGGTCATGCCCGACAGCTCGTCCAGCCAGGGCGACGCCAGGTACTCCGGCTCCAACACCATCGGCACATCCAGCTCACGGTGGGCTAGCCTCATTGCGCGCCGACAGTTCTCCACAGCTTCGTGACGATCTGTAGACAATAGCTCTCATATTTTAGATTGCATAGTAGTTACATGATACGCGTATGTGCAGTCTGTGTACCTACTCGTATTAAAAGACAATGTCTTTATGATGATAGGCAACTGCAGTAAGGACGTCGTGTTAAACGTGTACGTTACATTATAATAACTACATAGTGGCAATAATATTATCTCAAGAAAATTTCATCCAGTTTATAAGTCTGCACTTGATATCAGATTGAATGTTGCTGCGGCTCCGGGAAAGTTTACAAAGTAAAAACGGCCAGCTATTGATTTTATATAAAATCAATTTGCGTTCTTACAGATTTTCCAATTACTTTTAAAGGCTGCTCGGAACATGGTACGGTGTAATGAAATCTGTCATAATCAATACTGACTGAGCTCGCGCCAGTGCGGGAAAACGCCGGGCTTGCAGTAGTCGAGTAGCGCGGAGAGCAGAACCCCGCTGTTCCAATCGGTCGTCAAGTTGTTGACGCGGCACTCCGGCAGCGCTGCCTGCAGCCACGATAGCATCAACTTTCTGCAATCAAACACCAATAAACGTGCAATTTGCCAGTCACTTGCCGCCCAGCACCGTAGGGCACACAACTATGCGGCTTCGATCTCCGTAACAACTTGGAATGTAGCTCTAGTTTATATTTTACACCAAACCTCCGTACAAGACAGTATTGAGCAACTTACAATTTATATTACGAATTTCTAATATTCGCCGCGGATACCGAGGATCGCGTGAATTCTTTCATCATAGCTAGAGCTTTATGTCTTCATTTGATTGCAAGTAAATTTGAATGGATAAGAATTATTGACAATATCCTTATCCATATGGTGTTGACTCACGTGTGGATATGAAACTAGACCATGTATGGGGAAATATCAAATGTAGGTTACTTAACGTGGAATAAATTATCCTAAGATGTGAAAAACTAGACACATACTAGATGCCGGTATTTCTAAACACCGGGGCTGTTAGACAAGCTCACTGAGCGTGTCTTAGACTTTAAAATGTTAGTCTGAAGACATGGACTGGTGCGCCGACGCAGGCGTGTCGCGCTAATTGCTATTACACCAAATAAACGCTTTGCACTGTTTAGATACAGTTAGTTTGTTGGCCCAAGGTTTATTGATTTAGAGGTTCGCATTACGTCATGAGCTCGCGTGATTGCATCGTTCACTTGATTTAAAGCATCTGCCAGGTGCTGCATCATGTTTATTATTGTGCATTGTTATTTTTTGTTGTGTCTAGTGAAGATTTCGCTTTGTTAACTAAGTTTTTATTGCGTTCTGAGGTGGTTTCCGGATATTAATCATTATGACTTAGTACACGGTTGAAGCGCATGTATGTACTTGTTCGTAAAACTAGGAATTGTATTATCATAGTATGTGCCATGTTTTAAATAATGGAATGTTCTTTAATGTTATTTAGTGTTAAATCGTAAACCTAAGCAACGTAAAAATATTAAAGTAGCAAAATGTCTTTAATAATTTGTCATTCAAGTAAATATTGTCAGCATTCTTGAAAGTACAACAACATAAGCAACCTTACCTTGGAGGGAATTTGCTGCGCCCGATCTGGTAGCGGACAATGAGTGACCAAATCAAGCCCAGAATTAGTTTTAAGTTCCCATTCACTATGTCCACGTTACCTAGAACAAAAGACAACTGTCAAAAAATAAAATAATCTATACCTAATATATACTAGGATACCTATTAATCAAAAGATAATTTAGGTTGGAAAACTAATAAACGGCAACAATTTGTTGAACCTATATTGAATGATTCAAACTGACAATTCAAAACATGTGATGATATGAGTGAATTTCACTATACAGTAACTGGTCATGTAAAAGCTCTCATTTTCATCTGATTTAAAAACCAAAAAACCAAAAATATTTTTCCACAGCTTCCCTTTTTACCAATCTTTATACAAAAATTGCTAGACCGGTTGATTGAGTCACGAAGGCGTAAAAAACTGATTGGTTTTTATGAAACTTGGCATAAAAAAGTCCTGACCTATTTTAATATTATAAGTAGGGTAGGTTAGGGTCCTTATTACCCAGGGAATACGGCAGAAACTGCTTGAAGTGGGTTCATATTACTTGCCTAGATTAATATTACAGAGCTAATCTCTCAAACTAGCGGAGGTACTTTGCAATTCCTTTTTTATCCGATAACTGATCTCATTCCTGAATAAGATTTTTATTAGTTAGTAATTTAATAATAAAAATAACATACCTCAGGCTTGCTTCAAACATAACTATGTTACTTCTATTATCATTCCGTTGTAAGGTAATGCTATGTTTTAATACAAAGTCTGTACCTACTGTTACTGAGAATTTCGAAAAGGCACCATATAATACCTACATAGAAACAGTTAATACAATTTGTTAGTTAATCCTTCATTATTCAGTAAGTGGATAATAAGTTAGAGTGAAGTCAGGACATTTGGGAATAAAGAAAGGTATGGGACAGGAAGGGGATTGGGACATAACAACATCACGCCTGCTTCGGCTCTAAGGAATAGACAGGGGTAGTTGCTACGGCCGGTTTTCGCCGGTAATGTTATTAGCCCCCTGTAATAGGGGACGAACCATAGACGGGACATGAATTCTATAGATAAAGATTAATACATTGTGTTCTGTCACTCTTAAAATAAAAGTGATAAAAGTGGAATCACTGAACTGCTTTGAAATAAGGGAAATGGGGAAATGAACTATATCGTCAATTTGAAATGTGTATACAATGTTCAACACATGAGCCGATAAGTCATCAGAAAGAAAGTGATCGGCATTGCCAATAAGTTCTTTTACAGTGTAGAAAGAATTAAAATGTCTAAGTAATAAGTAAGTATAATGTTGTATAGGATCAAGGAGGAATATAGAATTTATGATATTATGTTCTTATTACTGCCTCGTTGGCCGAGTGGTCGCTAGCGCGACTGTCGGGCAAGGGGTCTCAGGTTCGATTCCCGGGTTGGGCAAAGTATTACTGGGTTTTTAAAAAATTCTCAGTAGTAGCACGGAGTCTGGAATTGTGCCCGGTATATGGCAATTGGCTCACCCCCTATTACATAGGACTCATAGCATAAATAGTGAAAAGTGGGTGTTTCATTGTATAGTGGCATAATGTGCACCTCTGCCTACCCCTTTGGGGATAAAAGGCGTGATGTTATGTTATGTTCTTATTACGTCACTTACCGATATTAACAAGTTTGACTCCGTCATCCTCAATAGCTTGCAGTGCTGTGGTCACATTCTCCAGTTTGTGGTGCTGGTTCGTGGGGTTACGACTCCAGCCCTTCAATCTTCGACCTTGAAGTGCTTCAACTAAGGCACATAACACAGTGCCGTCTCTCAGGTCTTCGACTAGGTCTGCTACCTGTTAGAAAGTACAACACGTATTTTTGACTAAACATTAAAGTGGCCGGAATCATGTGCAAACAAATACCTAGTGTCTGCTTATTACTCCTTCTTGGAATAAAAACTAAGATTGGAGAAATTAATGTGAAATTGTTATGCTTGCATACACTATCACGGATTTTTCTTGCATCGTATTTTTACAATTTGGAGGAGTAATTAGGTTCTTAGACTGGTGGTTGTTATATAGATAATTTTGTTGTACATAACTATTCATAGTGTACATTGTGCCATTGGTCAAAACATGAATGGAATTTTAGCTTATATCGATCAATATCATTAACGAAAATACATTGCGAAAATAAAATGCTAATTTCACACTTTAACAAGCATCAAAAGGCCATGACCGATTCTCAATCAGGTGCGCTAAACATCTGTAAACAAGCATTGCTAATACTAATAAAAAGTTGTATAAAATCAGAGAAATCAGTGTTACCTCTCATAGTTCTGTTCATAGTAGCATACTGCCAATAAATTAGCGAGGCGTATTGTGTGAAACTGTTAACTCAATTAATATGGTATTTACCTTTATATTCATTGGCTTCAGGGTCTCATTGACCCAATTTCTGAAGGTGTTGGCCTGTATCTCCACCCAGAGGTCCTCGTGGCCTTTGATGGCCATGCCCTTGGCGGCCGTCCCTTCAGGGCTGCGGGCCGCGAGGCCAGCCTGCGTGATGCGACCGGCCGAGCCCTCGGCTGAGTGCGCCCGCACCCCCTGGTGCGTCACTCTCACTCCTTCCATCCCACTTATTTATATTTCACCTATTTAATATCACTTTAGTTTCTTTGGCACTGCACATCGTTGTCATCTGGAAAGATGTATTACTTTATAAGTGAGGAGTCTCAATGTCCATTTTATTTAAATTCTGTGACAATCGTGAATGGATAAGCCCGTGCAAGGATGGTGCGTCGTATGTAGAATATTGATAAAGAATAAATAGGAATTTTAATGATAGCTCTATCTAGTTACGGTATACAATAGGAATTTTCTGTCTAGGAATGATCAATATTTCTTTTGAACACTAAGTTTTGAATTCCGACATAATAGATACGAGCTGCAAAACTAACAATGAAAAGGAAATAATTGAAATAAAAATCTTGATTTCTCATAATATTACAATGTTACTATTCTTGAAGTATTACTCCTTATTGTGGAGTTAATGGAATACATTTTATGCATACTATTCAAAGAAACACTTAATTACTTAATAATAATAATATATACTTAGGTTTAATTCGCAAAGATTCTAAGAAAATAACCACTATCTAAAGCATGTACTAGTTGTTGTTCTAGCCGGTCGGGAGTCGGGACGGATCTAGAGTTTTAAGGAGATCGATGACGTATTGTCACGCCGCCATGATTGATGAGTGTTCCCGACCAAAACTGATGATACTATATCGTTGGGGTTACTTTATAAACAGCCACTTTACTAGCTGTGCTTTCTACATATGTATTAAAGTGTGTATATAACATAGTAAACCACTTATCGTGTATTGCATCATAACACAAGTTGGGACTACTGAACTAGGTACGAGTTGATGCGATTAAAAAATATCTTAGAGTATTGGTATTGTAGAGTATCTTTAATTTTATGTTTCGTTTGTATTGTTTCAATATCTTGTTTAGTCTCGGTCATTTACAAAGTACTACTTTAGTGTATATTGTGTATATTTTGTTTATATGGTTGGCGTCATTAACGTGTATATTTGTAAAACCTCATTTTATAAAAATTCGTGTGTGTGTCCTGTCGTAAAGCAGTTCGACTGAAAGGTTGTAGAATCAGTTTGATAACCTCAGTTGACTGTACCGTTGTAGAACCAATGATAACCTCAATATAATGACTTTGAACAAACCCCTAATGAATATGTTTAATCGAGTAATTAAATAAACATTTGTTAATAAACCTACATACCAGACATTATAGTATTGTAAGGTCTATCGATTTTCTAGAAACTGGCTTCGTTTGGGGTCAAATCAATAAATTCCTGCAGTATAGTGAATGTGTGTACATATTGTACCCATAAAGAAACAATAGCTAAAATGGTACAGGTTGTTTACTAAAATCTGCTGGTAGGCAAGCGTTATCTCTCGCTTGTATTTGTTGATAGCTTCGTTTTGTATGTTTCGGAACTAGTCTAACCATTGTTTCAATATGAAGGTCGGGTCAATAGAATAAACATTATTTTTTGATATGCTATTAGTGCAGTCACGTTTTTTTTCTTTACTTATCGTTGCAATATGATGATTGGTCGGTGTTTTATTTGCATTTTTGATAAATTGTCCAAAATGTTGACACTTTAGGCCTTTCAAGCAACTGCATCCTGTTATTCGTCAGATTTATCTATTTGGTTCTAAAATGAGTCCTTATGAATTACCTTTAATTTTTGAGGTAATTTTGTAATTTGCACACTTTGAATGACATCAACGTTGACACAAACCTAAAGCTATCCCATTCTGAACACATTGTAAATAAATAAAGTTTGACCGATTACGTAATGTCTCACCTATTGGAGTACTAAGTAATAACGATCGGATAACAGTCATAAATATTTATGATATGAGTAAATACAAGTATTGATATTAGCGCACTTGACGATGAGATTGTGAACATTCCTTTTACTATTTACTCTGTGACGGTGTAATTCTCTTTGAAAATAAACAGGGGTGCAATTCTGCAATTATTAGCCGGAGAATAACATCGCTGACGGCAAGCACTAATTAGTCGCCACGTCCTGATTCCCTGAACGTGTTCAAAGCGATATATCATCGCAATGTTTTATTTGCAAGGACGAAGTGTGACGCTATTTCCTTTCCTGGTTCTATTCTGATTTTATGAGTTTATTTACTGGGATAATGGGTAATAAGAAGAGTTAGATTTTTAAGCATACTCACATCAAGTATGAAAATAGTTCTGAGTAATTCATAACCTTTTTAATTCAAATGATATGTCTATAATTTCACCGCGGAGGACGCGGGTTGCCGGGGCTTCGGCTCGAAGGGCAGGAGTAGGAACGGGGTGGTTTATAGTCAAGAAGAGTCTGACATTCCCTCCCGCCTCACACAGGCGGGAGCAGACATTCGATGATTTTCTCCCCTTAAAAAAAAAGATGCCATTCAAACAAACAAAAAATCAAATCTTTCCTCTTTATACTTACTATTAGTGTAGATGTAGATAATAAGCGATGAATCATTACAATTCCCTTTGTCGCTTATATATTTTGCAGATCAAACTGTATGATTGTTTCATATGAAATCACTTCCGAATATGACTACACTTCATTCTTGGAAACAAGTGGGAAACAGAAGGCTGTGACGAATGAGGTATTATTATGTGTGGATCGCTACATACTCATTTGATATCTACCAAAAACGGTCAGTTTCCTAATTTTTGTTTTAATGTCCGACTGATACATTAATTTAAATATAAGGCACGTATTCTTTCTTTTATCACAGAATTGTAAATACCATCGACGATAATTATTATATTGGTTTGAAATATCGTGATACGTTAAAATATACTGTATTTTATAGGGTACCGTGTCGTAGCTAGCTCCCATACCTAGACTTTAATTCATTTTATCTAAGTGTTGTCTAATTATATGACAAAATAAAAAAGTACGTGTCTAATAGTTTTTAATTATGTAACTGATGGACTAAATAGGTTTTTAATTTTCATATCCTGTAAACTATTTTATTAGTTCGAAACAAAGTCAAAGCATTTATTTCAATTAATATTTAATAAGGCACTTTTATCATCTCATTTATACATTATCTGATCTTTTAAACAACTCAAACAATAAGTGATAAGTGATAAGAACTAGCTAATTGGTAATCCAAGTCGATCAGAATAGGTCACATCACATGTTCACTAGTCGCATTTGCGCCAAGTAGGACACCACATAGTATCATTGCCACGGAATTATAAAAAAAGTAATCATTATTGTGGTGGTATTAGGGTGCAAATCTATAATAGGTTTTCCGCTAAGGAAAAGTTACTATAATATGATAATGTACCTCTTTATTATAATTGGAGGAAACATGTGCGTATATCCATTTGTTGTCTAATTAGCAGCTTCATGTTGAAACTCATGTTGTTGGCAGATGAGTGCGCTACCACGGTAAAAAATATCAACATTTTTGCATCAACTTTACAGACAACACCAATTTTCAAGCTGAAATTGTCGCACACAATTCAGGAGACGTAAGTACATTATTGTGTTGTTTTTTTTTTTTTCAAAGGTAATATTTCACGATATTGTCAAGAAAAATTCAAGTTTATTGTTTTCCTCATTATCCATGCAAATGGGAAATTATTGAGGACGTAATGCTTGTGACTTTAATATTTTCTCAGTTCACAATGCAGGGGAAAGTGATTATTCGTGGATACCTAGTGCATGAGTTTCATGCATGAAGTTCCGTGCATGAATTTTTTCACTCATGGTTTCGCTAGTTAGGTTATGTAGGTAGTAAGATCACCTCCATCCTCAAACTCATATTATAAGAATTAAATATTATTATTTATTTTAAATCGAAACGAAGATTTTATTTACTGAACCATGTATAATATTTACATTAAATACGATTTTAATTAAAGCTTTATTACCTTTATAATTATCATGAAACGAGTGTGCAAACATATTTTATATATGGTCGAATATAAAGACTTACTGTGCAAATAAGTGTAAATAACATTCATAAAATTTATATCCGAGCCGGAACCACAAATTAATCGAAAATTTATTATTTATTTACTGGCACGCCTAAAATTGGGTAAATGATGACCTAACAAAGTGATATAGAGGTAAATGGATGTTTCAATAAATAGTAGGTAATTTGGGATTGTATAATACCAAAATGTGAATTTTGCAATAGACTACTACGGCACCGCTAACTACAGTGGTTATGAATAAAATAATTAGGTAACTGATAAACCATAAGTATTTAGGTATTTACCTACGGGTAATTAATTGTTCTTTAACATTTTTCCTAACTTTCCTTTTCGTAAACTAGCAGACGGATCACCTGGTGGTAAGCAATCGCCGCCGCCCTTGGGCACCCGAAACATCAGAGGTGTTATAAGTGCGTTACCAGCGTTTTGGGGATTAGGAATTTGAGGATTGGGGTAACTGGACTTCTGGTAACCTCACTCGCAGTACGAAACACAACGCAAGTATTGTTTCACGTCGGTTTTCTGTGAGGAACTATGTGAATGGAACTATAAGACATAATTATATATATAACATATATATGACCGTAATATAAAGGAAAAAGTATCGGTTGTATGCAACCTACCGCGTAGGAGTACCTACCAATTATGCATATGAAAGTCTACAAATCTTTCCGAGGACTAATAGCTGTTACTGTGGGTGCCAATATCCCGCTATTCAAAGATGTCTCGTTTAAGTTTCATTCAGGATTCAAACCAAATGTTTTCGTTATAAATTGAAAGCGTTCGTATGTCCAATTTTACTCGTGTGAATCGAAAAAATGACGCTCACAAAACATGTTGCGCTGGACACGGTACTGCCGACACACGTACAGTCGACACATCCATACTTCCATACTAATGTTGTACGTCTCTATGTTTGTATGTTTGTCTTTTACCTATTCATATCGAAATAGAGGAACGAATTGATGGCATTTCAGAAAAGGATTGGTATATGATCAGTATTTTTATAACACAAAACCATCTTAATCACATGGAAAATCAAATCATGCTATCTGTTATTTTTACTTATTGTTATCGGGTAGTATAGATAATAATAATATGCATATATGCATGTATGGTTAAGCCTATACGCTTTCAAA